TTTATTTTTCGGGTATTATCTTGCATTTAAACCAAATGTATGTAAACATTTTAGAAATTAAATTAAAATAGTTACCCATAATAATTTAATTAAATAAATAAATAATATTAAATTAACTTTGCACAATCTCTAAATCGAAGCAAATTCATCAAATCTCTGAACAAATTTGTTGTACATAGAGTAATCCAGAGAATTTTTACTTTGAAAAACTATCGCAAGTTATGATGAAATTTCAATACTTGCTACATAACGATTGAATTTAACAAAGAATGTAATATCTTGGCGACTGTTGAATTTAGAACTTAATTTTTAAAAAATTAACTTCGACACTGTTTCTGCTTTGTAGCCGCAGATGAGGTCCGAAAAGTATAGAATGCTTTGCAGCCGTTAATATCTTTTCTTTTTCTGTTTATCATGCATTCATTAAAAATCATATATTTTTGATACAAAAAAAAACATTTATATTTTTAACAAGTTTCTGATATTAAGATTCCCTCATCAAAATCTTTTTCATGCTGAGCTGATATCGAAATTCAATTGCGATTTATTAAATTATGTTATTAAATATGTTGAATTAATTATATTATTAAATATGTAAGAATATATTAAATTATGTAATTAATTATTGTCATTAATTTTATTAACTTATTAATAAATTGATAATCCAATTAGTTGTTTGATATTATTAATCTATAATAGTAGCGATTTATTATTTTAAAATATAACACATACACTGTAAAAAACGTGGGGTGATACTTACCCGAATATGGTGTTCAAAAACTTTAAAAATGGTGGGTTAATTCAAGTTAAAACCGAATCAAGTGTTCTTCGTTTTAAAGATGTAGTTAAATATAAACTTCAATATTACTCCGTTCATGAATTATTTTTGCCAATTTTGGTGTGCGTTTGGTTGCTTGTTTAGAATTCGAAAAGGTGAAAGTTTGTTTTTGCATTGCGTTATACTGAGCATTCCACAGAAACAGTAATAAACTCTTATAAACGCCCTGTTTTTTAATTACATAATAAATATAATAATGATCTCATAAAATTTACATAAATCTGTCAATTGTGTGATATAATTTAAAAACATTAATTTTTTTCGCGCTTCGGCTTTGTTAAGCCTACTTTGAATTCATATTAATATTCTCTCTGTGCTGTGTGCATGTTCGACCAAAAAACTAATTTCTTTTTAAAAAAATATTGTAACCAGTCGAATATACCAGTTCTTTGTAACAAAACACAAAAACAAACAAAAAAAAGAAAATAATCAGTGAATCAGTTCTAAAGAACAGCACAGAACATAACCGAAAGGCGTGTAACAACACAATTTATAAAAGCATGAGTACTATAAAAAAAATTGTTTATTTATTATTCGTTGACCTTCCTAATGACTTTATAGTGTAAGATTAAGCAAAGTATGTTTTCTGTAATTCATTCCATTGAATAGATTTACTGTATTTAGTATTGTTTGGCAAGAAGATAGTGCTAGCTGCCAGTTCATTATATTTTGGTTTTATTACCTGATTTATTGTTTTTCCTTTACCATGAATGTCAATATCATGTAGTGCGATAATTTAATTAGTACATTTTGTACCGCTATATTTAACCAGTATATTTAATCAGCAAATCTGGTACGAGTATGTTTGGCTCGGGTTATTTATACCGGTATATTTTAACTAGTGTATTTGGTACGGTAATTAATTGTGTATAGCTGTTACATACCTTTCAAGATTTGAATTTTGCGCGATATATGTGGTAGAATCAGTGGTAGCTAAGTATAGGCGACGTTTTTAAAAACAAATGGAATTCTTATCAGACCTTAGTAAGCACTTCGCAGCATGCTCATTTTTCTATCAGACATTTAATATACTGTTTAAAATATTTATAAGAAGTCGTTGAAAAAAGTTCTTTTCGTTTTAATTCATCAAAATATTAATACACTATCTCTGCTAGTTCTAGAAACTGGATTTGTTAAAGAGTTAAAAGCAAACATATTTCGTGTATTTAAAGGATTAAATATAGGTATCTAAGGTAAACATGAATTAGTAAAGAATTAAATAGTCTCATTCATTGATTCCATAGCTTAAATCAAGTTAATATAAATAATTAAACCACAAAAATGTAATATTTTTCATCACGACTGAAAATAATCAAACGTATTTCAAAAAGATGACTTCAGATATTATTATTTGAGCAAATTGTAATACTATGGATTAGTTGCAATTAATTCATTACTTGAAAGTAATGAATTAGCTGCAGTGTTTAAGAGTTAAAAGCAAACATATTTCGTGTATTTAAAGAATCAAACATTGACGTCTGAAGTAAAGATGAATTAGTATTGAATTAAATAATATTGTTCATTCATTCCATAGCTTCAATCAAGTTAATATAAATATTTAAACCACAAAAATAAAATATTTTTTATCTGGACTTATAATTATCGTATAAACGTATTTCAAAAAGATGACTATAGATTTTATTATTTTTACAAATTGTAATACTATGGATTAGTTGCAATTAATTCATTAGTTGAAACTAATGAATTAGCTTCTGTATTTAAGAGTTAAAAGCAAACACATTTTATGTACTTAAACAATGAAACATTGACATCTAAGGAATTGATGTCTAATTACTTTTTATCATAACATTAGTACTGAATTTAGTAAAATCATTTATTTAATAATATCATTCATAATACTCACTTCAATCATAGTTTTGAATCAAGTTAATATAAAAATTCAAACCACAAAAATACAATACTTTTTATCAGAACATATAATTCAGTTTAATTATCAAACACATTTCAAAATGACAATACAACAATTGTTTTTATTATTTCTACAATGTTTAAGATTTAAAAGCAAATAAATTTCATGTCAATGAAAGATAGACATTCAAGGAACTTGCAAATTAGTAATGCATTAAGCAATATCATTCATTTAATAATATTATGCATTATATTAACTAGATATATATTAACATAGACATTATATTAACATTAGACATTATATTAACATTATAAAACTTCAATCATTGTTTTGAATCAAGTTAATATAAAAATTTAAACCACAAAAATACAATAATTTTTGTCATAACATATAATTCAGTTTAATTTTCAAACACGTTTCAAAAAGATGATAAAACAACTGTTTTTATTAATTTAACAAATTGTAATATTGTATACACTATTAGTATTATAAGTTCAGTTTCTCCTAATATATTATGCCATTAAATGATTAAAGAAAATACGCTTAAAACTGGCTAAATAAACAATATTAATCTTACATTTAGCAATTTAAAATTAAGTAAATACTTATTAAAACCATTAGAAATACAATTAGTCTTAACACGACACATCAATGTGTTTTAACCACAAAGCCATAGTTGTAAAGTTTCCAAATCAACAATTTGAAATGTACTAAAAACTGATTACCATTTAATAAATTTATCCATAGTATGTTTTACTTTACATTTAAACAAATAAATATACATACTTTTGAAAATGATCAATTGTTTCTCTTGGAATTCAATGATTTAAATGTATTGATGAATTTAATAAATAAAATTACAATAATATAATTAAAATTATATTTATTTATAATATAATTTACTTCACAATTAAAAAATTAAAGATGTACTTTTTTGAAAATGATGAATTGTTTTTTTGGGGGGATTCAATAATTTGTATTGTGATAAAGAATTTAATAAATAAAACTATGACTCATAATACAGGATCTAAGCATTTAAAGAACTAAAACTTTAACACATTTGAAGCAGATTAGTTATGTTGTTTATATAAATTCAATATATTTTTCAACATATTCAATCTATGTATGTGTACAATTCAATATGCCTTTCATTAATGCGATAAATACTAAACAAGTTATTAAATTACATTTTTATAACAAAACATAAAAGCAACTAAATAATTAAAACTATAAGAAATAGAAATTGTGAAAAGGTTTTCCTAATTCATAAAAATAGTTTTCTCAGTTGCAATAATTTCATTTCCTTTGATATCTTATTTACATTTAAAATTCTCTTGAAATGATTTTTTAAACATATTATTTTAACAGTTTCTTAAAAATATTTTACTATAGATTAATATTCACATATTATGTTTTTATATAATAAGACTATTCGAGTTCAAGTAATAACTGATTCACAAACGCGTACAATTCTATATCAAATATTTATTTCTTTAAGAGCTATTTTTATTAAGGATTATATTTCTGAAAATTAACTAGATCAAAATGTTTTTTAGTAACTTGCGCATTCTATTTCTTAATTTGTGGCGAATGCTTAGATATTTATATGCAACTTTTTTTCAAACAAAAATTATCTGTTTGGTAACAATTGCTTATTTATTTGTTTGTTGTGTTACACAGATGTATAAAAAATGACACTAAAAACTTATTTTTATATAGGTCTTCTTAATAATTTTATGAAATTAATATAAAAATGTGTTTACCAAAAATTCAGGATTATGCTAAGAATAATTTCAGAGAAAAATTTCCTGTCGTGCTGAAATTTACTCTTTTGGGAGACAAAAAAAGAAATTTGCAATACGTAATGAATAACACAAAAATGTTTTGGAAAAACAATATTGATGCTTCTATTGGAACAAAATGTACTAAAACAAAAATAAAAATTGTTTTTTGAATGATGTCATAAATTTTATATATATATATATGTTAAGCCTACTTTGAA